CTTACAAATACTCATTTGATGCTCTTTTTACAAATTTTACACCTTACAAATACTCATTTGATGCTCTTTTTACAAATTCAGCATGGTGTCTACATGCTCGGGTGTGCTTGTGTGGAGATACCTTTTATGTTGAATGTTTGTTTTGCTTGGTACATATAATGTATTGCCTACAGATTTATATAATGTACAGTGATACAATTTCTAAAAAAAAAAGAATGGGAAAGATCAATAAAAATGTTTGAGTCGGCCCCTTTTTGGCGGGACCACTTTTTGGCGGGTCGGTCGGTGAGGGCAAACAAACAATATTTTTATTATGGCCCAACGAACGACAGGCCTTCACCTCATCGTGAGAAAACACGTATCGGTAATACGGCGAGTATAACATCTACAGAAAATCCATCCATCACCGATCTCTCGTTCGACACGGGTAGAAGTTCTACGGGATCATCTTACTGCGGCGGTGACCAGGAACAACGGAACCTACGACCCCGGCGGCCACCCGGAACAACGGAACGTACTACAATGGCGGCCACCCGGAACAATGGAACAACGAAACCTACTATGACGACGGCCACCTGGAACAACAGAACAACAGAACCTACTACGACGGCGGCCACCCGGAACAACAGAACAACAGAACCTACTACGACGGCGGCCACCCGGAACAGCAGAACAACAGAACCTACTATGACGACGACCACCCGGAACAACAGAACAACGGAACCTACGACGACTCGCACGTACTCACCTGTTCGAACGGCACCGGGGGCGGTGTGTTCACGCTGCCGAACGGTCCGAAGCGATGTTCGTAGCGCACCTGCTCCGAATCAAACTCAAACATCGGCTTCTTCTGCCGGCCCTCCAGCTGAAATCCAGCGAGCGCCTGCAACGAGGACGAAGGTCCCACCGCGGGTAGATGTCTAAATAACGCTCAATGATAAATAATGGTCAACTATATAACGGTAACCAAAATAACGTCGGACAACCGCGCCACACCCGTCTACGCCTCTCGCACGTGCGGGACGAGAGCAGCGGAAACGCGGAAAATACACATGCGACGAAGAAAGTCCCACTGAGGGGGGGAAAGTTACTAAATAACGTCGGACAACCACACCACGCCACTCGCACATGAGATGAACGTGGGGGGGGGGGGGGGAACGCGGTCTGACTAACGTCGGGCAACCGCGGACTATGCTACTCGCGTGGCAGACGAGCGAACGAGAAACGCGAACAAAAAACGCCTGCGATGAAATTAAAAGTCCTACTACGGGAGAGAAAGTCGCTAAATAACGTTGAATAACTAACAGAGGAGAAATTCGTAAAAAACGCGGCAATTCGCGGCAACGTTTCCCGTAGGAACATCAGAAATGCAGAACGATCTATATTCTGACTTATATTCAGTACTATTCACGCAATGCACGATTCTAGTGATATATCTCATCAATTACACTATTCACACAGCGCGTGCGTGCGTGCACGATTCTAGTGA